TGCTTTAGTACTAACTGTCTAGTCAGACAAAGTCACTGCGTAAAGTGAGTCCAGAGGCTGGAAGCTTACACAAGTATTAAATTCAGCCGGCAGCAGAGAAGCCAAACAAGCAAAGATCAAATCCACACAGTGTAGGTAAAGCAGATACCAGAAACAAAATAAGGTGGCAACTACTGATAGAGACCGGAATAACAGGAGGTAACCACAGTGACAAAACTTCCCAGAGCCTGAGGGCAGACTGGGAGACTTTACAGGAAATGGAGATGAGCTGTGATGAGGAACAGGTGCTGGTGGTAAATAATAGGTGATGCTGACCTCTACTGCCGAGAGGAGTGTGACCAGTTGTGGTAGTATGATTGGATCAAGCGGGCCAAGGCTTTTGTCATTGGCCCTCCCAAAATGATTGTTGAATTGTATTTTCAATATTAAAATTTTTGGTATAATACAAACAAAAAAACATAAATATATTCACTTTTGCTAACATATTGAACATCAATAAAAAACAAGAGATAGAAGGGTTTTTTTTTCTTTTTATGTTATGAGCTGCAGTTTTTTGTTCTGTGGTTCATTTTTCTGGGTTCATTTTGTGTGAAGAGAAATTATTTATTTATTTATCAGCTAAACACAGAACTTTCATGATGCTAGACATTTGCTAGGCACCAGGGGCTGTATTACAGAAACGTCCAGTCTTTTTGTCTTAACTTAAGATCTGACAGGTCAAGATAAGATTTTTCACAAATTCATATTACAGAAGCAAATCTGATCTTAATTTAAGAATCTTATCTTACAGCATCTTTTCTTATTTCAAGTTAGGAAATCTTAACTTACTCCACTGAAGTCGTCAGTCAACTGTCGTGTCTTTTACCTAGCAACCGACCATACGTGCACAACTGGAACATAAACATGTCATCAAGATGGTTAGCCAGACAGCTAACGTTAGCTACCGTAACTGAAAAAAGGTCAAATAAAACTAAAGTGTGATAAATAGACGGCTAAGAATATTGTGGCAGCGCTTCGTGCTGTTTATCAGAGTCGCCGCTCTCAGTTTCAGTTTCATTTACCAAACACTTTAGCCGAGCGCGCTAACGTTATTCCTCCTAATAAACAGACACACTTTCAGCTCTGTCTCCTCATTATTCACCACTATCACTGTAATATTGTATCTAATAAGTTTTTATCAAACATTAATACCCAAGGTTAATAAGAGGGGACAGTGGAGATCGTGTGTGCAGCGAGTTTTTTAAAAAACGCTGTTTAAAAAAAAACTCACAAGTCAAAGCACTGTTTTCAATGTAGATAAGTGTAGTATCATTATGCCAGTTATTTAAGCAATAGAACACGAGAGGGAATGTGTTATGGCGAAATAACATCACGGCTGTGATTTGGTCGCAGGCACGAGCCGAAGGCGAGGTCAGACTCTGAAGATGAGACACCTTTGGCAAATGGTGTTGGGTTCATTTCTGGCTGATTCCAGGTTGTTTATCTGTTCTTCTGTCACAGAAGACAGACTGATGACAGTTTGGGAATTTAGTGTCGTCTCATCTTCAGAGTCTGACCTAATCGGCTGTCGGTCAAATGTGATCTTAAAGGTGTCCATTTTCTGTTGTTCTGTAATGGCTTCTGTCCTAAATTCAGTCTTAACTGAAGTTGCCATGACAACAAAGCAGATAGGATATGATCTCAGACTTACGAATTTCCTGTAATACGGCCCCTGGTTTGTTCCACAGGGAGGAATGCTAACATGCTATTACTTCTACCACATTTAGCTAGTTAGCTTTAACCCTTAACTAACAGTTAATTTAGGGGGGGTGAATATGTACTGTGATGCATGCAGACAACAATAAATGACTTGATTTTTTCTTTAGCCACAACGTGGACATTGTTATAGCGTCAATGTTCACCAGCAAGTAAACGCTTTAGCCAAGTTACCAAGCTGTCCAATGTGCAGTAGTAGGCACATCAGCAAGATTGGCGTTAGTAAGTACCACTGAGGGTGAAACAATGAAGAATATCTAATATTAAGCCTAAAGAGAATACTTTAACTAGCAAAAAGGTACCAAGCTGGCTAACAAAGCTGAATATTTTCCGAGTTTTGCAATCTGTCCACTAAATTATAGCGGTCCTGCCCTGCCTCGCCCTTCACTAATATAAAATGTCAAATCAGAGACACTTCTTCTACAACTTCACCCTCCATTTTAATCTTTAATTTTGGAAAAATGCACGCATGCAAAAATGTATACCCATACCAAATGTAACATCTCTCTTCACTGCTGTTATGCTTAGCATGGAGGCGGTCTCGGGGGGCCTGGTGGATACTGCGGGTACTGTGGTGTAAAAAAGCAGTAAAAGTGACAGTAGCAGTAAAAGAAAGCATTTTTTTTATAAATCTGAGACTGAAGAAAACATTTGGGGCTTAAGTCCCAAAGACCCACTCCTGACAACTTAGCAAACATTGTTTTAAAATAGTTTGTTAATGGCTTAGTTAGATCACACACACTTTATTCATCATTAATCAGTGGTTATAACACATTGATAACAGGGGCAGAAGTGAGCTGTTATATCTGATGAATATGAATGTGTGATAAAACTGACATGTTTAATGCTGACTGATGAGGAAGACAAAGTAAAATAAGTAAACATCGAAATGTAAAGTTTGACAGCAAAAATGAATGTGAGTTCACTATTAGGCAAACGACAGATCACTGTTGCCCTTTGTATTCATGTGTGGTAAAAACTATTCGTGACTTCTCAGGTAACCATTTCATCCATTTCAGTAACCATTTCATCAAGAATCAGGGCAAACTAACTGATCTGTGGTGATCAGTTATCTGTGATCTGTGTAAGTTAAGACCTGCAGCAGTGATGTAAAGTGACAGGTCATAAAATGTAAAGCAGTGCATTCAGAGAGAGGCTGTGTTTCAGCTGAACATGAGCAAAGCTGTTAGTCTGAAACACAAATAAAAGAAATTAAATGGAGAGTAGTTTTCAGTTATGTACAGTATTAGTCCCAGTTTTTGCTGTTTTCATTATCACTGTCTCTGTGAGTTAAAATCAAACACTGTCTTCTGCTGATGTTATGATGACATGTAGGACAATGTATACATGTTTACAGTAATTATGACATTTTGAGATTTTTTCTGGTGTTTTGCTTTAGAAAAATGTAACAGAAAATAAAAGAATATTATTGTTTTTCTAAACTGCAAATTAAGAACAAATCTCTTTAACATGGATTAAAAAGTGTTTCTTACCTGTTACTGCTGGTGAAGCTGCTCTGTTCATGTCTGCGTTCGTGTCTTCTGCTGTTTATCATGCGGGACTAAAGAGGAAACTGAAGACACAATAATCACTCTTTGTTTTGTGCTTCTCCATTTATTTTCATGTCAATTTACATAACAGCTCACTGAAGGAATGCAAATGAATGCACACACACAGTAGATTAACAGTAAATAGAAACCACATCATTTTAACGGTCAACTCTGTGGATAAAATGAAATATTCTCAAGGAAAACAATGCAAGATCTGCACTCTTTGTCCATTTTATCAGCTCCGCTGACCATATAGGAGCACTTTGTAGACCATCTGTTTCTCTGCATACTGTGATACCCTGTTCTTCAATGGTCAGGACTCCCATGGACCCTCACAGTGCAGGTACAATTTGGGTGGTGGATCATTCTCAACACTGCAATGACACTGACATGGTGGTGGTGTGTTAGTGTGTGTTGCGCTGGTCTGAGTGGATCAGACACAGCAGTGCTGCTGGAGTTTTTAAACACTGTGTCCACTCACTGTCCACTAAAAAAGTAATTGTAACCAGATCTATAGGACGTTACTTTAAAAATCATGTTAAAGTAACATAATCTGAGTATGTTACTTTTGGATTAATTGTCTTTTTAAGGTCATACAATTAAACAAAGACCAGAGAAAAATCATTTCATTAAGACTTTTTCAACAAGAACTTAATTTAACACAAAGCAAACACAAAAAAAACTGCTCTGTTTTATGAAACCGAGTTTCAGAGTGAAAATAAAGGGGGTTCTAGGGAGTCTGGGACCACCTAATTAACTTTCTGGACCCATTAAATGGGGAGGAGGTCCTTAAAAAAAGAATTATTACAATATGCTGCCTGTTAGGGGAAAACAGATGCTCAAATAAAAATTCAGGAACATTTCATTGTTTAGCTGCTTCACCCTCAATAGGCTTCTGTCTTTGATATTCTTAACTAACAGGGTGTAATTCTCCACTGTGCTGTAGCAAGTTGGTTCACTCAAAATAAGGATTTTTTTAATATATAAATGATATATGATATGACTGCCTCGTCAAATTAACAGCACACTGTTGACTGTTGTGTACAACGGCTGCTTTGGCATCACTGGAGGAGAAAATAATCTAGTCAGATGACGTGTCACACATATGGTGTAAATTTCAAGCATAAGAGAGCGATTAGAAAGCATCACTGAGCAGATGCAGAGAGACACAGGCAACATGTGCACCAGGTTAGCTGCACTTCACTGTGAAGTGCATATGGTTTGTATTTAGCTGAAAAGCTGCAGTACTTTATATGGCAGAAAAAGTTAGTCTGTTTAGATATTTTCATGCCTGCGTGCAACTGAATTGAAGAAACCTCTCTGATTTTAGTTTCTATAAGATGTGATGGAGCATCCACGACAATTATCTAACAAGAGGCTTACAAGTATCCACACCAGAGTTTATATATTTAAGCAAACACAGAAAAAAAACAGTAACCTACAGACAACAAGTGATGCATCAAACCAGGAAACCAATATATCACTGTAACAGGAGAAGAAACCCAGTGAGAGGAACTGTCCCAGTATAACACAACAATGATAAGAAAAAGTGTCGTAGTCCCAGTTATACATGAACTTTGCATTATTAAACTGAATTGTTGTGTTTGCATGTTAAAAAATGCACCACACAATGATGAAGAAATGGCTATCAATTATCATGATCCTGAACTATGGGGATCCAGCCTACATCCTCTTCTAGATCTCTAAAAAGAAGCAGAAACCATTATTAAGTATTTATTTCACCATCAATATTCAGCTGTTGACAGATATATAATCCTCTGTCTCACCCTCAGAGGTGTTGCAGATGAAGTTGAGTCTCTGATTCTCTGGCAGACTGACCCACTTCTTACTTCCAGACTGCACTGCTCCTGTTCTTTCTCCTCCACTGCAGTCTTCCACCCCTGTCCCGTTCCCCGGAGCCCAGTTCTGGTAGCAGATCGACACTCCATTCACCCAGAACCAGAAGCTCAGGGTGCAGGTGTGACGCAGACCCATCCACACATTAGCAGTGGAGGCATAATAAACAGCTGTTTCCACCCAGTGCTGAATTTCCTCAGTGTAAGCAGAGACCAGATCCACATGATTCTCTCTGCAGTATCTCAGAGCTTCTCTCCACGTCTTCTTCTGATTAATCAGGATGAGTGGAAGCTCTGCAGAAGGGTGAGAAAAAAAGATTAGCACTTTTGTAAGTTGCTCTGGATAAGAGTGTCTGCTAAATGCTGTAAATGTAAGATTTAACCATTACATCAAACAGTTCAGTTATTATTGTGCTTCTCAAAGCTGGGACAGGAGCATGTTGACCACTGTGTTACATCACCTGCCCTTTTTACAGCACTTAATAATGATTCGGGGACTGAAGACGCAAAATTATCCAGTTTAGAAAGCGGAATTTTCGCCATTCTTCTGTTATACAAGTCTTCAGCTGTGCTGCCGTTCAAGGCCTTCATTATCATATTTTGCATTTAATAACGCACCACACATTTTCAATTAAAGACAGTCAGTCTTCACTTACATCTATGGATGCAGTGATGAACAGTGGTTCCTGAGCCAATGAAGTGATATCCATCACAGAAGCATGCCAGTTTTAAATGCAGTGTCATTTGAGGGGTCAAAGGTCACAGCCATTTAGTTATGATTTTCAGCATTGTAATTTACACACACAGATTTCTCTGGATTCCCTGAATATTTTGATTTTATGTATTTTAATGTTATTGTTCTCTGTAGGGGGTAAATCCCTGCAATCGCTTACTGGGGAACTCTTTTTATACCCAAGCATGAATGCATCACCTGTTTTAGAAGTTTTTTGAACAGAATGTGAATTTACACATCACAGCACTCTGTTTCTGACAGTTACTGCACATTTAATGAACATTTATTAGACTATTACTGTACATTTTAAAACATTTTATGGCAACATTGACAAAAATTGCCTCTTGTACATCTGGTATTGTATAAGATAAGATAAGATAAGATAAGATAAGATAAGATAAGATAGATAATCCTTTATTAATCGCACAACGGGGAAATTTGTGGTGTTACAGCAGCACAGAAGTAGCACAGCAGTATTGTGAAGTTGCTGACAATACCCAGCCTTACTGTTGTACACTTGTTTGCAGAGGTTTGGGCAAATAAATAAGTTACCACATCATCTACAGAGACCACACTTCTGCACATTTTAATACAAAATTACTGTTTATTTGCTGAACTTACTGGAAAAAATAAAGCATAAAATTATGGCACATTTTATATTTTATATTTTTTCATATATGATAAACTCTAAAAACTCAAAATACGTAGGAATTATGCACAAAAATTTGCAGGGAAATGTCATACTAAGTGTGTTCACTGTTACTCTATACTCACTTAGAAAATCAAGAAAAGAATGTCATTTGACCAGGGGGTGTTTAAACTTTTGCATAAAATGTAATGTGGTTGCTGAGTAATAAGAGGTTAAAAGTGAATGAACTGAACCTGTAACAGATGAACTGCAGTTATCACCTCATATTACTCACTTTTATAGCAGATAAACGGATGTGACCACTGGCAGCCTGCATCATTCCATCTGTATGCAAAGTCATGCAACACCTGCACACACATTTCACCTCCACCATTGTTTGGCTCCTTATCGTTCCAGTATTTGTATGAGGAGTTACTCCCATCTGACCAGATCCAGTTCTAGAAACAAATTAATACCTGATCAGTAAACACTGACCTCTCAGTGCTCATTATCCTCACAGTCATATGAGGATTTTAGTGATTAGCTCTTTTGAGGTTTTCAGGCAATTGAATTTCGGCCTAACGGTCACTGATGAAATATTTTCAAAACTTCCACCCCCTCCCCCTTATTTTCACCAACCTGCATCCCCCTGTAGTTTCATTAATGTCACAAACCTCTTGAATATGAATAAATCTAAATGTAAATGTTTTCTTACAGTGGTGTCGTGTTTATCTTTCTGCTTCAGTCCGATCCAGAAATCACCTGCTGTCCCATTGAGAACAGCTTTCAGAGCGTCCATCTCCTCCTGGCTCTCAATGGTGGCCAGGTCAGTGAACTTCTCTCTGCAGTATTTCTGAGCGTTGTTCCAGTTCTTTTTTTCATTCACCACATGAAACTGACGAGTCCCACAGAAGGAGAGAGTCCACAGAGCTGTAGAGATGAAAGCTCTCATCAGCATGACAGTACAGTAATGAAGCAGCAGAGAGTTTTACAGATGATCATGAAGCTACACTGACCTGAGAAAAGCAGGATCAGATACAGAGCTGAACTCATGACTGTGGAGAACAAGAGAGACACAATCCACACATTAAACACCTCAACAGTCTTTACTACCAGTACATTAGATATGTAAGCAATAGAACCTGAGAGGGAGTGTGTTATCGCGAAATAACATCACGGCTGTGATTTGGTCGCCGTAGATCATCACAGCCGTGATGTTATTGGTGATAACACACTCCTCGAGTGTTCTATTGCTTTTATACAACAGTTAAATAAAGTAATAAATTAATACACTGGGCTTGAACGCGGCATTTAATACGTTTTAATGTTCGCAGTTTCTTCCGCCAAATTATAATTCCTTAACGAGCAGCTTGTTGCTACGTCAGAGTAACGAGCTCCGCCCACTCGCTGCACAGCTGGCAGTTCGTTCTCCAGCTCCTTACACTAAATTCCCAAACTGTCATCACCACTGAGCAGCTTTTCAGTTTTTTATTGCGGCGGTTTTATGGCTCAGTCTGATTTGGTCTGACTCCGAAGATCAGACTACACGCTTGGCGAATGGTGTTGGGTTCATTTCTGGCTGATTCCAGGTTGTTTAGCTGTTCTTCTGTCTCAGCTGCCGACTGAAAAGCTGCTCAGTGGTGATGACAGTTTGGGAATTTAGCATAGCCTCATCTTCAGAGTCTGACCAAATCGGCTGTCGGTCAAATGTGACCTTAAAAGTGTCCATTTTCTATTTGTGGCAAAGTAAGAAGTAAAAAAGTTCAAATGGCGTGAGCGTCTCCTACAGCTGTCAAAGTCGTTGCTTAGCAACGGTGTCTCAGCGGAGTGATACAGTGTTTGTGAAAAAACCATGCTGTTATGGTGAAATAACAGCACAATTAGAACGCCTCTCAACCAATCAGCTTGCGTGGCTGGAAACCAACTGTTGTATAATAACTGATATTAAAATGGAATTTTCCAAAGATTAAGGTGAATTCCACCAATTAAAAAATAATAATAATAATAATAATAAGTAATTAAAAAAAAAACTAAAGTAAAAAGTGCTGTATGAACTGTCGGTCATATTGTCAGATCAAAAGAACGTAAAAGCTACAGAAATATTAATGTAACATTTTAAACAGACAGAGACCTGAGGACTTCGCTAGTCCTTGTTTCACACAGCAAGAATCAAACACATTCAAAACAGAGAACACAAGTGTAACGTTTGTTCAGAGGAGGTCTACAATAGAGCAGTATTACACGTTTTTCTAATGTAAATATTCAGCCAACCTCTCTGCAATGGGCTTCATAGTTGATTGTTTTGTCTATATTGTAATATGGTTATTCTTTATGCAGGAGGACACTGTTTGAGGTAAGTAACATGAACTTTATTCGGTCAATAAACAGCTTTCGAGAACAGAACCATTGCCTTTTATTACAGGTTGTGTACTGCAGGGGCCTCTGTAGCCTGGGCTATACTTTTTTAGTGTTAATGAACAACACGCATGGATATGTAAGGTAAGTACTGTTCACCAGGAACAGTATTATAGTACATTGTTACATAGTTAAAACCCCAGATGTTATCATTTCAGCCATAATCAAACATACTTTAAAAGTAGGTTATAAATAAAGCTACTGCTGTAGGTCAGAAAGTCACAGACTACAACATAGAACACAATGCAGTCAGAGAGCAGCAGTATTTTATCTAAACACAAATAAACCTGTTAATCTGGAGTATAAAGTCCCTGTGGACTATAAATGACTCATGTCTTATTTTGAAGTTATGATGATATGAAAAAAAATCGATTTTGTGGAGAGAGATTGGTCCGATTTCCAATTCTGTGTAGTCCAAGACTAAACTTAATCACTGTCCTGTAAGTACAGATGTTTCTCCTTCGCACTTTTTTCCAGGTGCTTTGCTTTAGAAAAAGGTAACATATTTATTTAAAAAATAAAGCTTCCCGTCTAAACTTCAAATTAAGGATAAACACATTCACTCAGACAGGAAGCTAAAGCTCAGTGACAGAGATTAGAGTCCTTAAAGGTGTTTCTTACCTGTTACTGCTGGTAAAGATGCTCTATTAATGTCTGTGTGTTTTCTGCTCAATAGTGTCTGTAACTGAAGAGAAACTATAGCCACAACAGCTCTTTCTTTGTTTTTGTGCTTCTCAGACTATTTCACTGATGATTTACATGAAGGCTCATCTGACCATGCAAATGAATGAACACACAGTAGATACATACATTAAAATATTGAGATAAAACATGAAACAACCTTATCAAACACCGTTTGTCAACAAAGCATTTCACAATTGCTCTGTTTGTTGTAAATAAAGACAAACATAAAAGTTAAACGAGTTAAGAATGATGACCAGTGAGTGTAAAAGGGACAGCTATGCTGAATTGGGCAATCTGGAGAGTTGAGGGGAATTCTCAGTGGACTGGCAGTGTTCTGGGCTGGTTACTGTGAGCAAATGTATAAACTCAAGCAGAAGAACAATCAGACAAACTATAAATGTTACACCCAAGTGTACAACCCCATATCTGAAGAAGCTGGGACGCTGTGAAAAATGTAAATAAAAACAAAATGCAATGTGCAAATCATCTAAACGCTATATTTCATTGAAAATGCTTCAAAGACAACATATCAAATGTTGAAACTGAGACATTTTATTGTTTTTTCAAAAATATTTGCCCATTTTGAAATTGATGCAAACAACACATTCCAAAAAAAAACACCTAGTGGTTGATTGGCAACAGGTCAGTAACATGATTGTGTATAAAAAGAGCATCTCAGAGAGGCTGAGTCTTTCAGAAGTAAAGATGAGGAGGGGTTCCCCACTCTGTGAAAGACTGCACGATCAAATAGTGCAACAATTCAAGTATAACGTTTCTCAACATAAAATAGCAAAGAACTTTTACTTTTCATCATCTACGGTACGTAATATCATTAAAAGATCGACAAAAAAGCTACTATGACACAAGTTACAGAAATTCTTAATGAAGGTAATGGGAGGGATGTGTCACAACACACAGTGCATCACACCCTGCTGTGTATGGGGCTGTGTAGCCACAGATTGGTCAGAGTACCCGTGCTTTTTTTTTTGTCTGCCAAATTGTCCAGATTTCAATCCGATCGAGCATCTGTGGGATGTGCTGGAGCAAGTCTGATCTGTTGCAGCTCCACCTCACAACTTACAGGACTTAAATGATCTGCTGCTGAAGACTTGGTGCCAAATACCACAGGACACCTTCAGAGGTCTGGCTGAGTCCATGCCTTCAAGGGCTACAGCTGTTTTGGACCAACAACATACTAGGCAGGTGGTCGTGTTTTGGCTCATTGGTGTAGATGTAGGATATAGGGGCTTTGTAAAGCACTCATTCTACAAAGTACTTGGCATCACTGGGGGTGTCAGATGTCTTCAGAATAGGAGGGGTAATCCATGGACTATCACTGCTGGAACGCAGCTTGAATAGGGTGAATAATACAGTAACATACCTGCATTAAGTGTAGTACTCTTTGGTCAAGCTTGCATATCGTTTTGTCCCCATTAATGCTCCTGCTCTTTAGGCACTAAGCATAACATTATTGTTACTATGCACCATCAAGCCGATTCTGACTCTTGGCATCGATATGGTTGGTGTTTCTTTATACTATCCTATCTTAACATCAGCAGTTACATTTGCACCCAAATGGGAGGGGGCAGGGCTTTCATAGGCCCATGAAGAACAGCCTTTCTTTGCATGAGCCTATTGGATTAGATCTTTTCATATATGAAGAGGTGAGGAGCCCAGCTTAACTCCGTCAGAGCAAACAGTCTTATGACACGTATTAACCAACCAACATATCCAATAATAAAATAAAAATTTACTCTGTCAATGAAGAGCAGTGATGTGGATGTACTAGGTAACTGCCTATTCCACCTACAGCTGGTGCCAGCATGGACAAAAGCAGCTGCAGGGGTTGCAGTTAAAAGTTAAAACTGAACTTTTTCTCCAGACGTGTATCCCACCCTCCTGATCTGAACTGTTCTCTGCTGTGTTCTTTTTGTATTGGATTTCAGGAACAAGAACTAAATGATGTGTCCATATCACTTTCAGGCCTGCATGCTGATTATAGCCACAGGGCCCCCTGCTTTGCATGGTGTGCTGTGCAATGAAACATTTACATGTATCACCATTTCATGAGCAATGAGAACATATTTACCTAGCATATTTTAACACAAGTTCACAAAGTGCTGGAAATGTAAAATTAAATTAATTTCATACAGCTATTTACACACACACACATTATCAAAGCCACTCATTGGGCAGAAGGCAGGAAACACCCTGGACAGGTCAAGTAGAATAAACGACCGCCGTGCTGTCTAGAATCCAGAAGAGCGTGCACTGAGTAAGCCGGAGACACACCCACTTGTAAAGGCGCTGCCACATCCGCCGGATCCTGGGAAGAGGCAAATGCAGGTTTTAACAGGGAAACATGAAAGGTGGGGTATATGTAATAAGATGAAGATAACTGTAACCCATAGGAGACTGGCGTAATCTGTCGTAAACTCTTAAAAGGGCCAATGAATTTAGGACTAAGCTTCTTACATGGTCATTTCAACTTTAGATCACGAGTAGATAGCCATACCATCTGTCCAGGACGAAAGGGGTTAATTGTACGGCGATGACGATCAGCCTGTACCTTTTGTCTACGAACCGCCCTTTAAAGTCTCACATGTGCCTCCTCCCAAGTCTGCTCACTTCTGACTTCTCCTCATCCACTCATCTACAGCCAGAACCGAGGAGGGTTCACCTGACCAAGGGAATAAAGGAGGTTGAAAACCTAGAACATATTGAAAGGGAGTTAAACCAGTGGAGGAGTTAGTGAGAGAATTCTGCGCATATTCTGCCTGTCCACAATATGATCTTAGAAAGCACCTGATTTCTTGGTTAAGTCGCTCTGCCTGCCCATTCGACTGCGGATGATCCTTCCGAATCTCCTCCATGATTTCCCACCTGATCAGTGCAACTATGCATGTGGGATTGATAATTGTTTCTTCAGTTGTGGGTGAGTGGTCCTTTTTTTTCT